GAGAGAGTGATTAACAGGTGGCAGAGGGAAGAGGGGAGAGAGAGAGAGAAAACAAGTGTATCAGAAGAATAACAAGACAAAGGAAGGCATATTTTCACGAAGGAACAAAAAATATTTACAAAAGATGTAGGCAAAAATACAAAACTATTAAATAGAAACGAGAAAATAGAGCTTCGAGATGTTTCTACTACAACGACAAATGAAAAATGCTTTAAATAACAAAATAAGAACGAAGAGCTGTACGCAAACAGATGGAAAGAAAATACTGTATAGAAATTATAAGCGATAAAATTAAAAATAACCAAAGAACTTTTATATGTAAAAGCAGTTTTAAATAGAAAAAAGATACAAAAATACCAAAAAAGGACGTTTTAGTTAAAAGAAAGGATTTTATGAAGGGAAGAAATTTTTAACACGAAGGCCAACATACGTTGAGGAGATGCGTTCGAGTTAAAAATCGATTCAAGTTAAATTATTGAAAATGAAAGGACAACATTTGTATTTAAAGATAAGAGATACCAAACGAGATAGAAACGAAGGCAGGAAGTTTGGAAACGTCGTTCAATCAGAAATAGAATAACAGACGTATCAAAAAACGAATGAAGAATTTTTCGGCGCAAGCGAACTTTCCAGACATGAATGTTACTGTATTTGTGGATTTTTCCAGCACCGAAAATTACGATGCGACCAATGGTCTTGATTGTGGCGGAGAACCACACTCGTACGCGCTATGGGAACGTGTGATGATAGTAATTATTGCCATTGTCCTCAGCGTGATAACCGTTGTTGGAAATATCATGGTGATGATCTCCTTTAAAATCGACAAACAACTGCAAACTACCTCCAATTATTTTTTGTTCAGCTTGGCTGTTGCTGATTTCGCGATCGGTCTAATTTCCATGCCTCTCTTCACGGTTTACACTGTGCTTGGTTATTGGCCGTTAGGACCACACGTTTGCGACACATGGTTGGCATTAGATTATTTGGCTAGCAACGCATCGGTTTTAAACCTTCTGATTATTAGTTTCGACAGATATTTCTCTATAATGTGGCCTCTCTCTTATCGTGTGAAGAGGACAACTTCCAAAGCAGCCATTATGATTGGTAAGTAGTTTCTAAGTTTTACAGAAAGCAGGAACCGATAATATTGATCAGGCTCGATACACACTATCGGTTCGATCCGATCTTGCTCTACCTTTGTTCATCCAAAATAATAGGCAAGGAAAGAATTTAGAGCGGACCACGAACAGACTATAAGTATGTATCGAGCCATATCATAAAAATTTTTATTAAAAAGACCAACTGAAGTTCGCTTATTATTGAAGTTGAGGATATTAATCATAAAATATAGAGAAAAACAAAACAGCTATAACTGTACACGGTTGAACACTTTTTTCGTTGCCGATTTTTATTGATGACAGAAAATTTATGTTGCTTACAATAGTACGAAGTACTATTTTGCATTCGACCAAAGCAATAACATTCACCCAAAACAGTGTTTCCTTTACTTTGAACGAAAAGAGCAACTATAAACAGACGGGAGGGTACCTTGTTTACATATGTATATATCCGTAGCCAGAAAAAATGCGTACATGTACGAAAATACAGAAGAAAAATCGTAAAGCGCACAATGTAAAATGCGCGTATAGATAAAATCGCACCATGTAAAATACGCACAGTGCATAATCCGCAGATATAAGAAGTGCGATATATTTATTGAATCATCGCAAAAAAATAATTATTTATTGCAAAATTACAATTCTTCTTAAATGTAACAGTTTATCTGGTAATTTATTATAAGTATTTATGTCTACTGCTACTCCATTCAGAAGAATTTTACGTATATAATAAAGATTGGTGTACATAAGTGGAACTTGTTTTGTCACAGAGAGGAGGTGCAGGCGGAAGGCCACCATCGTACATTTTTTATTTTCAAAGCTACCGGTTTTACAGAATTTATTAAACAAATGGAGGTAACCAGAAACTGATGGACAATTACAATTAGGAAATCGGTCCTTGTACAATTGCACTTGCTTCTCTTAACACGTTCGCTACCAGCGTCACATATTTGTAACGGCCGTAATCCTATACTTTACATAATGAAAATGAAATTAATCCTATGGATATTCTTATTAGAAATTATAAACTACGACATTATATTCAGGAATTCAATGACTCGTTTCAGTTTCACTTTTCTAATACACCCATACCTCGCTTTACGCTCTAGATACGTTCCGGAAAAGTTGGCCGTAAAGCGAAAAGCCGTATAACGAATCAATTATTTTTATACAAACCCATACGAATTCAATTAGATCTGCTTCAATTTTATATAAAACAATATAGTTTTTAGTTCATAAAGCATTTTGTTCTTTTTATTTCTTCTAAAAGTGTTTACATAAAAATAAAACTATAAAACAATGTACTAATAAACATCAATTCAAAAAAATAAACATATAAATTAAAAAACGAAAGAAATCATGCGCACATATGTTTACATATAATAAAAAACACAAAACAAAATGTTTAAAAAATGTTTTAATCTGATGACGAACATTAACATGAAGAATCAGTAAGAATAATATGCTGCCATCATCATTTTCCGCTGTTGTGGACTGACCCAGTTCAAAATATTGGTCCAACGTTATAATTAAAATGAATTTTAAAAACTTATTAAATTAATATTATTAAATTATTATTTATTAAATTAATTAATTGTTTAAAACTAAACAGAAGATCGCTAACAGCACAGCAATTTTTTGGTCCTATAACAAAACATTGTGGGCTGTAAATCGAAAAAGTGCCATAATTAAAAAAAGCCGTTATACCGAAATGCTGTATAAAGAGTGGCCGTATAGCGAGGTATAAGTGTATTTTGTTTAGAATATTTATCGGATTGAAGAAAATATTATAATTGAGGAGACCGTCACCGAAATAAGATCTGGTAGCGAACGTGTTAAATACTGTCGACTTTCTCCGTAAGTAAAAATCATATCAATCTTATCTTCCTTTAAGCAACGCATTGTGGAACGTATATCTATAAACTTATAGATTGGAAATCTTACATACATTAGAAATCTGATAGCAAGATCTTCAGAGTAATTAGTAGTTGATAAACACGAATGTGCGTATTTTACACTGTGCGCTTTTCGCTATATGCGCTTCCCGTTATGTATATTTTTTGCTATGTGCGCATTTTTCGTGTGCGCTTTCTTCATGTATCAGTACATATCCTACTACATAACCTTTTGAGTGCTGAATACTTCCAGCCAGAACCTTATAGTATAGATGGAATATTTCTTTGCTTAGTTTGTCATTCATACAAGGTGTAACTAAGTTATAATGCAATTCATCAGTTTCTCCAAATCGAATAATACTAAGAAACCCGCATATTCATTGCATATATTTATAATTACGGCACGCGTAAAATCGAAAACATCGAAAAACGCATCTATGCACATAGAGGATGTCCCAGAATAAATGGGAAATATTTTGAAGGCGGCTTCGGTACATCAAAACAATACAAAAACTTCAGATAAACATATGCCCTGTTTGACCTTGTTTCCAAAACATAACGAATTAAAATTTTGACAAACTGTATTTACGTTCTTCGTATAAATGGAGATATTTCACCTAATATACTATTTGTAAATAGTTTATTCGTATATTAATCACTTAGAAATTCATATTGAATGTTAGTTATAAAGATTGTTAACCGATAGTTTTCTATAAATCTTCCGACTAACGTACGTCAGAAAGTTTATACACAACTATTGTCAACAGCCTTTGTAAATAACAGTTAACATGAGTTTCTATTAAGTAGACTATTACAAATAGGAAACGAAACAATAAAGATACAATCAAATGAGATATAAACCTAGTCATGCTCTTACCTTCAACTGGATTTTTCATGACGTTCCCGACGTTTCCCAGAATAATGGAACTTACATTTTTTGTTTCTTAGGCTGTGAAGAATTATGCCGTAACATAAGTTTTTGTTCCCGAGGTCGCCCAAAATTCGTCTATTTTTAACGTCCTCCTTTCAGACATTCATTTAATACAGAGGTGTCTACATAACTTACTCCCCTCACGCTAGTAACTCGGAAACAGCGTTCCCCCACTACCTCTACTCAATGAGCTGTCCGAAACGATGTATGTGAGCAGTTCTATGCAATGTTCAATACAAACAAGTAAAAGTAAGTGTAGAGAAGGTAATTTTTCGTGAGGGGAGTGCCACTAAAGTGCCTGTGGGCACTCAGTTAGACACCCTTAATCTAATGTATGGGCTTGCCCAATGTAGTACACTTGAAGCAAGACGTCTCTATGCAAGGATTTTCCTAATGGACGTCTGCAAACAACAAAACGTTTCAAAGGATTCATGAACGAAAAAGGATTCAAATAGCGATAACCATGTTCAAAGCCTGTTAATTTAAAACAGTGAATTCTTGAAGAATGGAGAGATTAAGGCAATTGTTGTTAGACGTCTGCAAGCGTGTGTACAAGCACAAGGTCACTTTGAACACCTATTATGAAGTTAATAAGTAGATACGATTTGTCAAAACTTTAATTCGCTATAGGTTTGACAAGGTCAAATAGGGCATATATTTATTTGAACTTTTTTTATTATTTTGATGTGCTGAAGCCAACTCCAAAATATTTCCTACTTATTTTGGAACACCCTGTATATGCATTTATAGTACTCAAAAAAATAATAAGTAAACTGTAATAAAACACTATTTACTGATAACTGTTATGAACAACCAACATTTTCTGTCATTAATAATACATAGTTATTGGTAATGAAAAAGATATTCAGTGATTTAATAATAATTATATAATTATAACTATTTGTAATCAAAAACATTTTGGCTGAAAAAATCATTATTATCCTATTACTTTTTTATTTTATTTATAAAAATCATGGTTCCTATTTAAAACAAATATACGAATTTGTCATTTTTACTTGTCTGGGGTGTGTCACGTTCGCAGCTTGTTCTTTCGTATGCTTAGATTTTAGCAAGTAAATTGTAAACTGTGCAAAAAATATAAATTTAAGTGTAACAATTGTCAAAATATACATCTGTATGTAAAATGCATTCTATATCGAACATTATTATACTATGTATGCAATGTACAAAACAAACAGTTTTTATTTATATTTCACTTAATTTATTTATATTTCATTTATTTACATGCGGTAATATATAGAATTCTGATGGTAAAACCCATTTTTATAAAATTTGTATTTGTATGACGTTTTGTAGATGTAAATTGAGAAGTGCTCATAATTGATCGTGCGATCCTCGTCCGACCGCTTCTAATGACACTCCCTTTACGAAAAGTTATACTTTCCATGTCTACTTTTATCTGTTTGTATTGAACACTACATAGAACTGTTCACATACACAGTCTTAGGCAACTCCTTGAGTAAAGGTAGTGGGGGAACGATGTTTCTAAGTTACTAGAGTAAGGGGAATAAGATAGACACCTTTGGCCTATACGTATGTACACAGTGCGATTATTACAGCTAGGTATAAAAGTATAATGCGCCTTTAGATGAGGGCATGAAGATATAAAGTTAATGTCTTCCCGTAAAAAGAGACAGCAATTATGCACATTTTTTGTTTGTCAGGGTGATGTCTTTAATTTTGAAGATAACAGTATTCAACTGTGTTGAGATTTTGTTAAATATCAAGATCTCAATTTTGGAGAGTGCCAATTCCAGACCAATATTTTTAAAATTGCTTGCTATGGTTTGTATGTTTGTGATGGTGGGGAATACGTTATTGCAAGTAACAGAGATTGTGGTATTGTCTGCATATTGTATTATCCTTGCGCAGGAGGGTAGTCTCATCTCTATGATACTGATGTATAGATTATACAGCAGAGGACTCAGGACTCCACCCTGAGGAACTCCCTTGCTGATGGTTCTGGTGTAGATTTTGCTAACGTTGGTTGATAGCTTATTATTTCAATTGTTTGGTGTTCTATCTGATTTGCTATAAAGTGAATAATATTTTTAGAGATTCCAAGTGATACCAGTTTTTTTAGTAAGATGCTGGTATTAACATTATCAAATATTCCCTTGACATCCAAGAAAACAATTA